ATTGGCTGGACTATGGGATAAGGTGGCATCGTTCTAATCCCATATGGGAGCAACCAGTCACTTACTGACTAACACTGCAAAACAGAATTGTTAAAGTATTTATTTTAATTTCAATTCAGGTTAGATTTTTTTGTGCGCAATGCAGATTTTCTGTGCGCAGAGACCGTGCCAGCAGTGCGCAATTGCGCACGCGCGCAGCTTAAAGGGAACATTAATTGAGTGGTTTGGTAGTCAGTTCCTTGGAATGGTTAGTCTGATTAGCTATCGATCTTGCTTATCGGCTGCACTTGCACATGAGATACAATCAGCTGATTTCAATTCATATGCCGCAGGGCGAAAATAGTGACACAGTCTACAACGTGGATATAAACATTACTTTTATTTTAAATGGCAGAAAAGAACGAGCGTTAAGGTACAGTGAAAACGTCCAGAACAGAAACAACTGCAACGGTTTTAATCTACTGCACAATATTTTAAACATTTATCTGCTATAAAAAGACAGGCCAGGAAAATCTCATTCACATTTTTCTGTATTTTATCCTCAGTTACTTTGACACAAAGGCATCTGCTGTGATGCTTACACCTCTAAAGTCTCACATGTGTCAACTTTGTTTTTATACATAGATATAAAAATAGGGATATGTACTGATAAGTGATCAGAATTATAATATTTCTGGATGTCTGAGTTAAAACTGAATCGACTCGAGTCAAAATCGATACCCAGCACTAATTTTACTCTTACTGCACTTTCTTTACAAAAATCTACTTTATGCCTTTTTAATGCTAAAACCCAGTTTGTCCTGAGACAACGTGTTAGTAAATCTGGCTCTATGTTTCACTCAGTCTTATCTCACTGGTACATGTTGCCTACCTCTTTGAAGAGTTTGTCCCACATGTCCTGATAACAGCCCTTATAGTGCTTGATTTCCTCCTCATCCTTTGTGGTCACTGTGGAAACAGTGACTACACCCGCAGGAAAGGTGAGGAGATTGTAGAGCATCGTGTAGCTGGCAGCAGCTTAAAACGCAGAAAAGAAAAATCAATTACTTATAAAGACACACAAACACTATTCTTAACCTTTACAAATGCAATTATTGTTTAATTTAAATATAATTTAGTTAATGCAGTAATGCCTTTGCTTTGCTCTTTATCCAGATGTTGTAATCCAGGTTACCTTCTAATCAAGTAATGTCTGGAGACAGTTTCATGACTCTTACTGTGCTGCACTCTGTCCTGTAATGCCCAGTTTTCTCAGCAGTAGACAAAAGCAGTCGTCCTCATCTTTGATGAAATGACTCTTTTTCTTCACTTTAAGTCCTGTCACACTCTTGTATTGTAACATGTAACTGTTTTGTACACTGTCATTCTGTTTTGTTTCTTATATGTATCCGGTTCCCCAGTGAGGAAACT